TTGTCTCTTGGACTGGCTAATTGACCGTACGTATAATTGGTAAATATATTCGTTTTGACACCCGTGTTTCATGCGCATCCCGGCTCATAAGCAGAATACAGACAAATGAGGCCCCGTGATCAGCGGAGCGTGAACAACATGGATGCCGCCTTTCGGCCGTGCCGAACAGTCAAGCTGCGATCTCGGAACTGAATCCAATTGCAAGCGGAGACAAGATTACTTCCCTTACCCAAACATGATCGTTGCTCAGAAATGTTCAAATCTATCTTCAGTAAATCATGAAATTAATGCGAGCATGACATTTATGCGAAAAATGCGATCGTCAGTCCCTCTGATTATTTTAATATGTTTCATTTCATCATGATAAAAAGTTAGTCACTTATAAGGTTACCACGTTGAAAATGGAAACGATCGTTAACAATAACAACAAAATGTATTCTCTCATCTCTCAGCCTAACAGTGATATAACTGCAAATTAAACAATCAAGTACGCTAAAGTATTACACATGGTGGGTGGAGGACCAGGGGCACTTTGAGTTTGACAGGTGTCATCAACTGGTCAAGTAACATCACGGTTTGTATATTCACGTTGATTGGCCAGTCTAGACTGGCGCCAACTAATCATGACGGCGTCTTCAGAACAGAACAGAACTTTATTTCTCCCAGGTTTAGGCTTACGTGGATAACGGAAAATTTTGTTTAAGTGATAGCACATTTGTAATTCAATCTAATATACTTTCCTTGATTGATTATATGGCTGCGGTCGTAGATCCGGATGTATCTAAATATGTACAGTATATACACAGGGTTTATTGTTATACTATTAGGAATAATAGATACAATTGAGTATTTATACCCTTGGTCATAAAGTTAGCCACTACTTTCACACTTTGATTTGTATGATTTGGGTTATGATTAAATTGACAAAATAAGAAATCATTCCGTGTATATGTGTATTATATATTGTACCCCAATACGTAATTAAATTGTGTATAAATAAGGACACTAGGTTAATTACTGTAATTGATTATTTGATAAACATATTCACATTTAGTTGTGTGATATGTCACAGAGGTAAAGCTAATTCATAACAACTAATTGTCCCATTTATTTGGTTTCTATCTTTTATATGAAACAAATGCTATAGCATGGGGTGATAAACTTCATTGGCAATAGACGTAGCATATAATTGTCCACATGAACAGTCTACTCTGTTCCAGATATGTTTATTAATTTTGTCAGCATTTAAATCGTTACATTCCTGGCTAGATGATTCATTTGACGAAATCTTGTTCCCCGTTTTGAATTACCGTCAGATAGTTCCAGAACAATTATAAAATTTTCAGCCCTATGTGTTGCGCATAATTTCGAGATAATTCGAAGTTCATATTCTTGTACGAACACTTATCAAAATTCATTTATACCTAGTACTATTATGTACATATGTATATTAGTTCAAATTATAATAATGAGGCCCTCTATATTCTCGAAACGGTCTTTGTTCTACGACAACCGTAAGGCGGTATGGGAAAACAAAATATTTGTTTAATTTTTCAAAGTTCAAAGTCAATGACATATGATTATAGACAAGGAAGATAAGAAATTAAATATAAAGAGTAGCCACTTTAAATGACAGAATTTCTTTTAGTTAAATTTGCTCATGATTTGGTCTTTTCGTGGTACATAGTGCCAAAATACTCTTAATTATTTACTTTCATGTCATTACTAATAGGATTATATCACATAAGGTCAAAAGTTGTACAACTTTTAACAGATATGATTATGACATGATGTATCCAAACATTTCCAAACATTTCCAAACAAATCCAAACAAATCCAAGCTAGGAAATATGACCTTTTCAAATATTGGAATGGCCATATTTCCCATTGGAATGGTGGTATTTCCAAGTTTTGGATTTTTTGGAATGGATGATATTTTGTCCAGTGAAAATGGCACATGTAGCATCAATTACACATGTCGCCAACCATCTCACACCGATACAAAATGGTTCACAAGCATCAATTACACATATCGCCAGCCATCTCAGACCCATACAAAATGGTTCACAAGCATTAATTACACATATCGCAAGCCATCTCAGACACATACAAAACGGTTCAGTAGCATCAATTGCACATATCACCAGCCATCGCAGACCCATACAAAATGGTTCAGTAGCATCAATTGCACATATCACCAGCCATCTCAGACCCATACAAAATGGTTCAGTAGCATCAATTGCACATATCGCCAGCCATCTCTGACACATACACAATGGTACATGTAGCATCAATTGCACATATCGCCAGCCATCTCAGACCCATACAAAATGGTTCAGTAGCATCAATTGCACATATCGCCAGCCATCTCAGACCCATACAAAATGGTTCAGTAGCATCAATTGCACGTATCGGCAGCCATCTCAGACCCGTACACAATGGTACAGTAGCATCAATTGCACATATCGCCAGCCATCTCAGACCCATACAAATCACACAGCAACAGTGGCTATTTCCAAAAATATATATATATATATAGAAGGATTTTGCAACAGAACCACATGTCCGTAAAACATAATTCATCATGACAGTGTCAACACTTGTCTTCTGTAAACGTCTTCTCAGATTGAAACATTTAGTTATTCTTTCGCATGTCGGCATTAGGAGTGAGTGAGTGAGTGAGTTGTGTTTAACTCCGCTTTTAACAGTATTTTAGTTATATCGCGGCGTGTCAGCTTAATGTGGGAGGAAAACCCGAAGTGATGCAGGTCTAAGACGTTTACCACTTCGGTGAAACCCATGAGCACGGGTATGGTGCTGACAAACCTAGAAACCTAGAAAAAGTCCTCAGGTGCGAAACACAGCCTGTCACAGCATTAACTCGCTCCGAAATAATCCAACGTAAGTAAATACGGTAATAACATGCACACATCACAACAACACCATGGTAACTCTCTCAAATAATTCTGACTTTAAAGGAACATATTCTAAATTACACCTTCATAGACACATATATCATGCATGCATATGCAAAGTATTACTTTGAAGAATCACAGCGTCCATAACAGCCGTACAGCAGTTTACCTCTCACAGCGATATAAACTTTCATGCCAAACTGCATGCTTTTTCCCTCATACCATCCACCCGCAGTTACCCACCCCCTGTCCAAACCAAGCCATTCAACCACATAGCGCTAAATAAAAAAAGGGACGTTCTGCCATCTACATTGACTATGCAACCCTTGGGCATGCCAGAAACTTATGATTGTGGGTTCGAATACCAGAACTACATACTACCTGTGCGTTTCATTGTTTTAAGAGTGTAGATCAGTTTACAGTTGTCAAGCAAGGCTAAATAATGAACATCGTACAGAATGTATGCAGTAGGTGGAGGATCAACAGTAACAACAATTGTGTACATGGGGGAGATTAACGTAAGTAGGTTTAACAATGACAACAGAAGGATAAAACTGTAACAACATGATGGACAGAGAACACATGAAGAGGAGCCAATTAAACCGGTATGGATCATTTTACGGTTGTCAAGCAAGGCTAAATAGCGAGCATGGTGCAGAATTGTGTACATGGGAGAGATTAATGTGAGTAGGCTAAACAATGACAACAGAACTTATTTCAGCGGCATTTAGAAGTTGGTGTGATGAAGAAAGACAAGTTCTATGGATGAACAACTTCAAGACCCCAGGTGATCACTTGCTTGAAAAAGGTGTTAGGATCTACACCGATACGTCGCACTAATTGTAATAAAGAAGTTGTTCATCCATAGAACTTGTCTTTCTTAATGACAACAGAAGGATAAAACTGTAACAACATGAAGGACCAATATGACAGGAAGTCAATTAAACAGGATTAAGAATACATACGTGCTGTGATTATTGCCTAATGAGTTCTTAGTAGGCGGATGGGATGTGCCGTGTTCATTATTCAGCCTTGCTTAGCAACAGTATAAGGATCTATACCGACACGCCGCCGTTACAGTTAGCAAGGAGGCTGTTATCTATGGAATACTGTAAGGGACATTCTCGCGATCTCATAGTTATCCATAAAGTGTCTCTACTTTACCAAATGTTAGTAAATTCATTCATCACACGAACCACACGATAATGTGAGGTCTCGCCATGCATTTTAATTGTTCATGGGGGCACGGGTGGCCCAGTCGTCTAAGGCGCTGCAATTCGCTGTGAAGAGTTGCGTCTTATGAAACCTATGATTGTGGGTTCGAATCCCGGACGCCCCGATAATGTTTCTAGGTTTGTCAGCACCATACCCGTGCTCGTGGGTTTCACAGTCTGAGACCTGCATCACTTCGGGCTTTCCTCCCACATTAAGCTGACACGCTGTGATATAACTGGAATTCTGTTGCAAATTGAAGCAAGTGTTATATTCTATTGATTGCAACAGATGGAACTTGAATAGACGTCAAGAAAAACAAACCCATCCAGGACCCAATGTGAAATAGGGCAATGCTACGTCTGCTGGCTAAGGCACAGCGGAAGTCAGCGATGTAGAACGTATGTTGAGCTTAGTTGTCCTCAAGTAAGGGTACACAACAATATCACATGCTCTTGGACTTATAACTCCATAGCGTATCATCAGCAGCTGAAGGGATGGTGTAAATCCTGCTGGGGAGCCCTCGGTCGTTTCGTCCCCTCGGTCCCTAGTGAGGTGGCCTAACTTTGGTTGCTGGTGATCTATAGCCCAATCTTATATTGTATTGTTGATTGAAAACGTATTTTTGTAAATGTTCTCAACTAGTTTTATAATCGATACTGTGATACTCTAGTTATTCTACTGTCCTTCTCTGACGGGTTTCTATTCCAATATCAATATATTTATTATGTCCAAGTCCTCGATCTGGGGTCAACAATCTACCTATCAAATGCCTACGTACTCAAGAGTGACATTTCCACGTGTGTAAATGTCGGAGATATGTGCAGCTTTATATTTCAACTCGGAGGTAATAGTAAGTATTGACGGACTTACCTGGGGTTTCGGCTCCCGTTAACGATGCTGAACTTGTTCCTTTGCGATCCTGCAGACCAGGCAATGTAAAGAAATAACAGACACGCACCAGCGATGCACAGCATCCTGAATCCTGGACCATGCTGAGGCACATCGCGCATGTTGATTGTTGATCCACTTATCCACCAAGGACCTTTTTCAAACTAAACAGATCAGACGGTTATCACTTACGGTTAAAAGGACATTTGCGGAGGGACGCCCGCACTCGGAGTAGGCGGAGCTGATACAAGTGATCTGACACGCGACTTTACAGCCTCAATTGATTTTTTGTATATGTTAACACATCTGCAAACTGTTACTGTTGAATCAGCAACATCAAGTATGAACATAGAGAAAATGTTGATTTCCAATTCATTCCAAGGTAGGGCGGTCGGGTAGCCTAGTGGTTAAAGCGTTCGCTCGTCACGCCGAAGACCCGGTTTCGATTCCCGACATGGGTACAATGTGTGAAGCCCATTTCTGGTGTCCCCCGCCGTGATATTGCTGGAATATTGCTAAAAGCGGCGTAAAACCATACTCACTCACTCACTCATTCCAAGGTAGCTACAGTTCCACATCAGTGAGTGAGTGAGTTTTACGCCACAGCCAGCCAAAGATCAACGCTGTCAAGTGTGGTGACATTACGCCCTCTGGGAATTTTCCTGGTGAGTCGTCATATTTAAGGTGAATCTTCTCTCTACCGAAAGTAGTCACACAGGTTCCTTTTTTTTGCTTCTGGATAGTGTCTCAAGAAGAAGGTGTTGTCATGTACCTGATATACTCACTGTGTCCTGAATTGGTTACACAATATTGAATAATGATATGTTTGTATGCTGATATGTTAATACAAATTAAAGTGAAAAGGTGTAGCCTATGGGAGAGAATATATTCCTTTGCTCACAACTTAAGTTGTTTGTTTTGTGAAATATATAAAGGTGTTTCTACAAGTATCATGACACATAAGTCAACTAATTCTAAACTTAATTCAACTAATCGAACGCATTATCAAAATATTTCGCCAATGAGCAAACCCAGTTATGCGAAAACACAGATGTGAAACAAATAATTTTAACATTGTTTAACTATTTCTGTTTATGGCCTTATTAAAACATTTGGCAAAACATTTCAAATCAACTATATGCAGAATGGGGCGTTTTGCAAACGGTCGAAATGCAAGATTAACTGTATGCACATGAGTAGGATATATTTACTAGCCTCAAATTCCGGTAACCGGATTTAATCCGGTCGGACGAATTAATGAGGTAATTCAGATATTTACAAGACGCATTTATGTGTTTTTAATAGATTTCTATAATCTTAATACGCGTCCGTAGGTCGCGAATATTTACAAGACGCATTTATGTCAATTTGATGAAATAAATTATGGCAAGTTTACGAGTGACAATTGTTTGTTCTAAAGTACTGCAATATGACAGATATAACTGACTTAAGGGTATAACAGAACTCATTGTGTTGGTCGCAAGAAATATATGAATATCACGGCTGTATGAATCCCGACTTCAGTCTTATAAAGAAATGCCATAAACTCCTTACACTGTCCGTGGTACAAACTTTTGAACTCGACCTATGAAATTTATCAAGCAGAATTAAGTTTGGACAAAGTAAACATATGCGACAAAGATGTGCAAACGCCACCATTAAGGTAACTAAACATACACATGGCAACGCACACTGTGGTTAGTACAGCTTTATAAAATCTGTGTTCAGAGGAGAAGCAATGTCCGAACAAGGTGCGTGGTTGGCTTCTGACAACGGAATGACATTATCTGGGATGAAGCAAAACTAGAGAAATTACTGAATCTTTTTCTCGGGTAAGTGTTTTTTATATTTGTACTTATTGGCGCAGGTTAAAATTATTTGCACAGTAAGGGTGCAAGAAAATGAAGTCTTACTGTTCGAATGTAACAATAAAAGAAGATAAAATTGTAACGATAACATGGCGATAATTTCAATCTTATATTCCTTTCTGATGTATTCATGAGTATAGAGACCTACGCACGGACAGCAGTCTCTGTGGTTTTACAACTTTTGTCATTAAAAGTGCTGAAACACACAAGGCGGACCACCTTTCTTTTGACAACGAGCGAGCAGACATAATAACTTTACGTTATGCTCGTTATGCTCGTATGACTCCACCATCGAGTAACTCATCTTCATCGGATGAAAGTGAAACTGAAGAAGGGCGATAATACAACCACCAACATCATCCAGACCAAAAAATTTTCCCAAAAGGGAAAATTCGATAATTTCAATTAAAGAATAGAACCAATCTCCCCATTTCCCTCACTATACTACTAAGATAAAAGGACATTACACATTTTTAAAATATAGTCAGGTCATATTTAAACAAAAGTTTATTACATTAAGATTAAAGACCTTATAATTACTCGATAAAATGGTAAGGATAAGTCGTTTTAGACTTGCAGCATTACTATAGGGGTGGCAGGTTGTCTTATAAGAGGTATAGCACGTTGTACTCTTAGCGAATGGATCGAGGAATAACCCCCTACTATAATATCAGCAATAGATTCGCCTATGTAGGTCGAGTCAACAAACCCCGACCGGAAGCCATAATTTATTTCATCAAATTGACATAAATGCGTCTAGTAAATATATCCTATAGCTACTCACATGTTAGTTTTTTTTACTTATTAATTGATAATGATATTGGTTAACAAAGACAATAACATCCTTATGTATTCTTTCTGTCAAATATACAACACACCAAGACAAAAGTAAAAAAGCTCCTCTGCAAACCTCAGACATTTTCTACTTTAACCAACTTGCGTCCATATATTTGATACCAAAGGACGCTCTGTGACATTCTCTATTCTTACAAACTTGTGGATGAGAAACCATTAAAGAAAAATAGTATCAACGATATTTGTGATATTGAAATCCAGGTCCATGACTGGTTACTCCATAGTGATGACCTGATTGTAATTCACTGATAAGTTACTCATGCTACAGTCGAAATCGCCTAATTCTGTGGCGACACTTTATGAATGGGTGCACTAAATGTTCTTTGATGTAGTTTGAATGCTCACCAGGGCTTTGGTAATGAAGACAAATGGCGGAAACGTTTGTTCTTTTTGTTTTTGTTTTTTTTGTGGAGGGTGACACCAAGTACACTACAGCGCAAAAGTCTTTTACTATAAAAACTTTTTTTTTGTAAATCATTTGCGTGGCTAAGCGGCGTCTTTGTAGAATGTTTTTCAAATTTCTGCGTAGCTACACAAACACTCCGCGGAGCTATTGCGTGGTATCGGTGACACTAATTGTCTCTTTTATTGGACCAGTTACTTTTATTACTGCCGGGGGTCGGCACAACCAATATCATTATCAATTATCAATTAATAAGTACAAACTATAAATTTGATGACTAAGTTGACATCTTGAAATTATCTCCCAAAACCCCTACATCCCATTTCCCCTACAACCCAGTTCCCCTACAATTAGTTAAAACAACACGCGGCATTTACCTGTCTGGCATTATGAACTCGCCTAAAGGAGAGATTAAGGTCTGGAGTAGAGGTAGTAGAAATGAAAGGGGTAGAGCTTTAGGGGATTAGGGGACTTAAAGGAAAGTTTTAAAAAAAAAGAATTAATGTAAGTGTAATGTGTAGTGTAGTGTGGTGTGGTGTGGTGTGGTGTGGTGTGGTGTGGTGTGGTGTGGTGTAGTGTAGTGTAGTGTAGTGTAGTGTAGTGTAGTGTAGTGTAGTGTAGTGTAGTGTAGTGTAGTGTAGTGTAGTGTAGTGTAGTGTAGTGTAGTTTAGTGTAGTGTAGTGTAGTGTAGTGTAGTGTAAGTGACCCTGAGTATAGCCAGAAGGTCCGGTTTATGAGCACCCCGAGTATTATGAATTTTGAATAATATCGTAATTAAATATTTATCTCAATCTATTCGTGTTTCTTGGGTTGTTCCATTGTATGAAATAGGTAACAGACTAGGGATTAGCAGTGCCATGGACCGTGAACTTTGTTGTCTTAAGCTGTAGGGGAAATGGGATGTAGGGGTTTTGGGAGGTTACCAGAAGACAACTTATACATGTACATCCCATGTGGTGACTGTTTTTCACTATTCATATTCTAATTTCATTCATAAGACCACACCATTTCAGTACTCTTTGAAACTTTAAAATGGCTTCAAATGTTAAGTACAGTAGATTAAACGAGAACAAATAATATATTACATATAGATTATTCAATCATTGTCTCTTTTATGGTTTGCATTGTTCAAAGAAGGATTTTGTCTGTCATCTTGCAGATTTGGACGCAGAATGTGCCCATTCAAAAGGGAACGGGAATAATTGATTATCATGAATATATATTATACAGCTAAAAGTTATACATAAACATGTACACTGTAAATGTATTCATTTTAAAGTCGGGTACGAACTTCGAACTTCGCGAGCGAGGTGAATGATCCAGGTCCAAAGGAACGAAATGTAGAACGGGTGTATAAGTGTTTGAATTATGTAGGTTTGTTAAATATGATTTATAATACGAATTTCTTTGCATTTCATTTCATTCAAAACGTCCTCGGAAATTAGATTATGCTTGAGAAACAGAGCTGACTTGAAGGGAGATGTGACGCTAGCCAGCTGAGACTGTACATGTGGACACACACTTGCACCGATTACAGCATACACTGGGCTCTTTGTTCAAGCAGGAATGTACTGGAAGTGATATGTAAGACATCTCTGGACAAATTACAGGTTTGGATGTTATCAGTTCTGCGTTCTGAGATACAGTGATGTAAGTATCTACTCCAATTAACAATATGTCTACGAGACAGCTTTGCCCAGGGTCAAATAACTGTTAGGCCACGATATGGGAATTAAGACCGCCTCCGTGGTCTAGTGGTAGAGCGTCCGCCCGTCCATCCCCGACCGCGTCATACCAAAAGACGTTAAAAGCATGGTTCTTGTTGTTACCCTGTCTGCGCTCGGCGTTATGGAGACGGTATACTGTGTCTGAGTGGGGTATTCATGTTACACTGCGCCATGGGCAAGCACTATAAATCGACATCAGTCCGGACTAGTACAAGCAGCCACACACACACACACGTGCATGCACGTCGCTATATAAGTGCAATAATCTTGGACGCGACGTTAAGCCC